AAAAAAAATATCGAAAAATATCATAGACCAGCTGGATATTAAACGACTGGCTTATGCTTGATTATACTCGTCACGAATTAAGGAAATGCTCAAATTTTAGGACATTATAACCGTATTCAATCCTCTTGGATTTGAAAAAATGCAAACTACTGACCAACGGTACATGGTGAATAATCAGATGCCTCTATCCGTTCATTACATCAATTGTACATGATCATGAAAGCGAGGTCTACTCTTGAGACTAGAATATCTTGGCCGCATAAATGCGTCCACCCAAGAAAGTATGCAGCTGTCCGCGGGCTCTCAAAGCAAGGAATGCCAGTAGGAGTGGACATTTCTCCGGGAACACCCTTACACCCCTCCTCTCTAGAAGGATCCTGGATCAGAAGAATGTCCTCAAAGGATAGAGCCTTGTACGGCGCCACGCTGACACCCAGCCGCGAATGGTTACCCCTGATAGGGGTCTGACCGGACACCCTTCCGTTTTAATACGAGGCATGCAAAAGGGTTCATGCGTCAATAGTGTGTAGTGACGCCTGTTGCGCGCTCGAGGCTTCATTTAGATTGACGTATTACCTGCGTTAATCAAACATCTGAAGGCAATCAGTTCATGCGCCAGTTAGCCAACGCCATATGGCACTGTTTATTTTACGATCACTTTTTGTAAGATGTTTCTCTCACGAGTTGCGTCAATGCCGCCATTAGTACATTGACCCCTTCCTTCCTACGTCAGATATGTGACGCAGCGCGTGTCATGGGCTTCACACACGATGCGTCTACTCATTTCGATTGCGTTTTTTAATTAACTGAATCTGTGTGGGGAGTCTGCGAATGCGACTGGAATGCCACCCAATGCTCGAAATTTTGTTTTACTACCTTGATTATAGGATTCATGGACGCTTATAACGTGTCTACCATCTTCTCCCAGTTGGAATATAATATCCAACGTGAGGGCATAAAGTAAATACGATCATAATCCCGCAATTTCTCTCCTGGGTACGGAGTGACAAATCATATACAAATAGATTAATGTCTTGCAAAAAAAAAATGCGGTGCAGAGGCTCGAACCCGCGACCTCACGCGTGAAAATCTGCCAAAATTGAACATTGCATCTAGAAATGACCTGGCAAATCTATGATATGTTTTAATTAGGTTTACATCTCCAAGATGATGTTTTGCAAATACGACATGGCATTTATTTCAGCTCCTGGTTTGCGATCGGTATTTTAAAAATTTAGAGCTATTTCAAACATGTTCCTGTTAAAGAAGCTATCGCTCTTTTAATCGGATATTGCAAGTCAAATCAGGATCACATCATTTTGTTGCACATCCTGCCATATAAAGTCAATAGGATAATACTCCCGACAGTTCACGAATCAGAAGAGGGAAAAAACGACTTTGACGGAGCGGCTAGCGGGGTGCCCCCGGGCAACATTATCCCACACAAAATTATTCATCAATCACCGATTTGATAAGATGGATTGTGGGGTCCGAAATCAAATCAGTCAATTCGATTACGATCAATGCTATCTCTGATCGCAATCTCACAAGTTCCGATTGTGACACGTGAGTGCTGATTTGTATCAGCAAGATGACATCTCAATGAATTGATTCGATATTGAAGAGAATTCGCACCATTTGCCGAAAGGAGATTTCAGTACAATTTCCATTTTTTTTTTTTATATAACTTAGCAAATTACATATAGAACAGTTTGAAACCCAATATATTGCACCACTTTTTCATCTGGTCGTTCTAAAGAATATTCAAGGGCACCTCGGACCCATATCATGTACATGTATAAATCATGAGAATATTGAGGGTCTGTTCAACGATTAGGGACATGTATATAATGAGCATGAAAAGGGGAAGATCACGGTCATGAAATATGTGATGAATGGTGCGTGCACTTCGAATCGTCAAATCTCGATTGAATGTTCATATGTCGTTCATTATTCATGGCACTGACTGTATGCTGCTGCAGTGGACTTTGATATTAAAAGTTATTTACACTAGTCTAAAAACATCGTGATTTTATCAACATTGAGTCCCATATGGATGGACTGCCGTGTAAATGGGTCACACAGTTACATTTCATCACTAGTCTAAACATCGCGATTTTATGAACATTGAGTCCAATATGGATGGACTGCCGTGTAAATGGGTCGCACAGTTACATTTCATCACTAGTCTAAACATCGCGATTTTATGAACATTGAGTCCAATATGGATGGACTGCCGTGTAAATGGGTCGCACAGTTACATTTCATCACTAGTCTATACATCGCGATTTTATGAACATTGAGTCCAATATGGATGGACTGCCGTGTAAATGGGTCACACAGTTACATTTCATCAAATAACGCACTTTAACTATTCAAAACGCTATCGCTATTTTCAGTTCAAAATATTCGACGTGCACGTCTATGATAATAAGGAGGGGGGGGGGGTAATCGTTGTTGGAACAACTGAAGACCCTCAACATCTTGAGTGCATAGATGGTTGTCGAAATTGGAGCACATAGTCGAGGCCTTACCGCCGGGTTTCGATGGAGAAGAGGAAAAACTGTGAGGGCAAAACATTGGGCAATCATGAAACCTTGATATTATTCAATGTCATTCGTTGTTTTGCCTTTCAGGCTGTCAAATTTTAAAGCGGAAACAAATGAAAGCACATGATGCCAGCCAGCATCGACGTGGACTTGAATCTCGCTGCTCTCACATCAATCAAGATCTCGTTGTTTTATCCCGTCTAGATACACAAATACGGCAGCAGCGGGGACGGAAATGGTCGACGAGGTGGACCTTTTGATCCCGAGAACATTTTCATGATTTTAGGGTGAACACACCAGTTTATGACAGCTATCAGAGACAAAAATGACAGCGGGATTTTCTTCCCAAAGCTCCCTCTCGTAGACTAAACAAATTTCATTCCATTTTATGCTACATGTATTTGTCGAATGTGTACCGAACTCGGTCGGGTTAGGCTCAACAATGCATATTCATGTAGTATTCAGAATGTTTTCGTACGTGTTTTCGTATGTTTTTCTACGTACCAAAAGAGTCTCAGCATTTCATAAATATGTTATGTTCGTATTTAGATATGCACTATTAAATGGCATACGTGATGGTATGACATGACATATTGAGACGGTATGTCTCAAAAATATTTCTAGTTACACCATTTCAAGATTACCTTTAGAGATACGAAAAGACTGTCTAGCGTATACCTTTGCATCGCGTGTTTGGAAATATATGAGGACGACCCAAAGAGGAAGAAAGGAATTCACCGAGGTAAAGATAAGTCGGCTCGAAGCCAAGAAATGAAATCTAGCGTTCCGCCAAATAACTAAGAAAATTACGTTTGATATAGGCATGCATCTTAATCACATAGATACCAGTTTGTCGACCGGTTTTAAAAGGGTTATTTAAATTGTTTTTAATTCATTTACATTCATCTTTTATTCTTAAAGGATCATTTTATCACTATAACTGATAATGTATATCTCATTATTAGCAAAGGCGTAGCCGAGAAGGGGCACGATTCGGATCACCCCCCCCCCCACCCTTCATCCGCTTAAAACGTAGGTAATCCCTACCCCTACCTGTGTTTGTTGTATTGTGTCACCCGCCCCCCCCCCCCCCACCTAGCTGTTCAACAAGTCAGTATATGCAACTGGTTATTTAATTATTCTCAGGAGGTGATTGAAACCGAGTTCAAAATGATTTAGTAGGCCCTATAACTTTTAGATGTGTGCACGACAAAATCAACACAGTCCATGTTATTTAAAATCAAATACATATATCTCCACACGTATACGACAAGTCTGCACACATCGAAGCTAATCGACTAATAAAGGATAGATAATGTGATGGCGCCGAAGTGTTTGACAAACATAAAGGGAGGATAGATAAAGTAACCAAGGACGGGCTGAAATATTCGATTGAGTAAATCGTTACAATGCATATAAATCTAGAAGTTTACCAACATTGTATGTGGTCATAGTTCGTGACGTAGCTACGCATGCAGGCACCCCTCCCCCTAGGAAAAATATATTTTTGAAGAAAAGAGAAGGACATAAAACTGGGAGGAGTGAATGAGACCCCCCCCCCCCTCCTTAGCCCCCTACCACAATTATTGCTTTTACAGACCAGTGCACCGCGAGATTGTAGAGAATGAGAATAGCCTAGGAAAGAGGGGGCCAAGAGAGACAGAAGAGGAGATGAAGAGGGACAGGAAGAGATAGAGAGACATAGAGGGGTAGATGGAGAGAGATGGAGAGGAGGAGAGAGAAGGGGGAGATGGTGATGAGAGAATGAGGGAGGGAGAAGGAAGGGGTTAGAGGGAGGAAGTAAAGGAGGAGGGGAGGAACACGGAGACACATCATGATAGACGGGAAGTTACGCTTAAATATGGAGATGTAAATTAGAATACAATTTTTGACATCCCAGCAAACACTATTTTAACGAAAACAGTTGAATAATTCTACAGTACCCGAAGTATTTCGAGAAGTCGGGATGTCACCAAGTTTGGCTACCATTTGTCATTTTGAGTCATGTTATCAGACATCACGGGTCTATTTCACGGCCATAGCACACATGAATAGTATGATATCAGTCCTTAAGTAAACTGGTTGTTTTTTCTTCATTGTTTCATGGAAGACAATGTCAACATAATTAAGATGGGAGCAAACCAGCTGACGAGCTTATTCCAGTTTATAGACGCTCCTTAATCCTTCCTCAATAACTTGGTAAAGAACTGTTGCATTCCTCTGGTACGGGTTTGTAATGATAATCAGAATGCCGTCTGCTTTTATTAAATGTCGCAATGTCGGGCAAGTACGTTTGTCATATTTTACAGCCACTATGTACTATCAATAATTATTGAAGAAGCATATAACATTTGCACAGTCGTGAACTGGTACATTAGAACCTTTATATTTCACGTAGTGGTACATACATGTAAGTATGGATAACAAAAAAATACGCGAGCAGTTACTTACCTCGCAGCCACAAGGGCGATGCAACAAATATTACACAATGTCCGTAGAATAAGTGATAATTCCATTTTGAAACAAAACCTGTTCCCTCCACAAACCAGACGAAATTTGGTTCCTCTTTGATCTAACCGAACTTGACTAAAGATAACTACTATCGGGCAAGTTTATCGGATTCCAAATTGGTCTTCAATGACGCCAATCTATTGAGGTAATATTTAAAATGTTTGGCATACACAGTGATGGCAGAATTTCGTCTGCTAAATGCGCTTGTGTCTGGATGTCTTTCAAAAGTACCCGGTGTCCAATATTTGAAGAAACGATGCAAAAGAGGCTGTCTGAATAAAAGTTTTGATCTGAAGCTAGCCACCAATTTTAACGTCTCGGCTATGCATCTTTATGATCTTTGAGATGAAAAAAGCAATGCGATTTTTTCGTCAAGATTCTAAAAAGCAAACTAAATTAGTTGCAATTCTCTAATGATGATGCCGGTGACGTAAGCACCAAGTTTACTCTTGTTATAATCTCCTCACAAATGCAGGTATGTCAGAAACGCTAAATGAATATTCCATAGATATAAGTCCACAATATGAGCCCGTTTGAAGCGTTCTACATAAAACACATTGAAATCCAGGAGAGAACCGGAGCATAAAATCATTCATGCCGAATGAAAGACGGCATGAATAAATAAAAACATTTTCGTAGCCTTGCAACTGTTATAGAGTCTCTATCAAAAGTCAAGGCCAACGATGTTTTTCCAATAACAGCGTGTGTTCCTGAACTTGTATGCCAGCAATAAGAAGAAAAAAAATATGAATGTCCAGCGAATAATACTAATATCCCAGCGGTGGTGAAGAAAGATGCTCATCAATTTATGAGAGAGGTATGGAGCTGAGCTATGTTCACGCAACTCTGCTATTCTACACTGGTAGTATTTTCGGTGTGAGAGAAAAAGTTTGTGCGTGCGTCGCGGGCCGTGCGACGGAGACTTAGTGAGGAGAAGAATTGATACGTCACACTACAATGGGCCAATCACGGCGCTCGCTGTAAACTTCTTTATACCGACTTCTTTATACCGAACTGTTCTCGATGCTATGAAGGTATGCCCTCCAAGTGAAGCGAGTTCGCTTATTGCAGAGAGGGAGATAGGTGGAAGCGAGTAAAAATAAGAAGAAGGTTGAAAGACATAAACCATAGAAGCTCGTTTGATTTTAAATAAAAGCATAGTATAAAATTTGTTGAATGGAAAACAAGGTCATGTCTAATATGTCCTATTTTTAGGGAGGATAAGATCATCGTATGTTTATGCGTCTTGCATCTCGCATAATACTTGATTTAGAATGTATCAATCTATCCAATTAATGTTTGAATTATAAACTATCATTTATTTTTGTTCAATGTTTAAATTTGGCAAACGGGTATTTGGCGATCATTCCACCACATTATCGCAAGATACAGGTCTTTTGTTGACAATAATCATTGCTGTTTCTACAAGTTTTAATGGCAATACTCACTTCAGTTTAACCCCGTCAGTATCATATGTTATATCACTGTAAAGCAAGTTTATGAGTCTTGCGATCATAAATAAGAAAATTTAGACTTGCTTGCCAAGACGAAGAACAACAGCCCCCTTTTCTTCAAATTTATAGCTTCCCAAATATAACTATTCGTCGAAGCCCCCTTGATCTGCAATACGGGAGGCAGTGTATCACAGGGACCCTTTGAGCGTGTAGGGTCACACAATGCCCTCAACCACAAACAAACACGGCCCAGACAAAGGCCGCCACCACCGAAAAGGGAATAATTTTGTTGTCTACCCTTTTTTCACCCTAACCAACCAGCGTGACCGTGTTGACAATGAAAACGATGCCCGAGGTATGGACTATCCTTTTGGGTTTGTTGTGAAAAGTAATTTTAAGGATGGGTAGAGATGTATAGAAATTAGTGTAAATAGTTCGACACCACTGGTCGATTTTTTCCCAGGGAGGTTCCCAAAAGTTGACACATGTGAGAATCTGCGATAGTATGAAGTTCAGTAGACGACCCAGGTCTATTAAAATTCCACAGATTTTTAACCGCAATTCAATCAAAATTCAAGCACCACCTTCTCATCAATATTAGGTCAATTATTAGGATATAATTTGTTGTAAAATAACATAATACTGTTATACAATACCGCGGGCGAAGCTAGTTGTTTGATTCGCCTCTTCAGCGAATTAAACTTTTAGGAACAAGCACGAATTTTTGCAATGTTATTCCAAGCTGATTTGGATGGTGTGTTTAACCGAGGGCGCGTTCATGCTTGATTTTGAAGGCAGAATGAGCGATTTGTAACGCTCATCGTAAACGCTCATCGTAATCGCAGTTCCACGGTGCACTGTTCATGCTCACTTCTCCAGGCAATTCTCCTTGGGTGGCCTTCAGCTGGATTCGCAAACATGTGTGCGCATGCTACGTAGACCCACTAGAGGTCAGTGCGTTGACCCCATTTAAACGCGTTTACAAATTGTAAACGCATCTTTTTGTGAGTTTACGATCGGCGATCGTGATCGCCGTTTTTCGGTGATTCTACAAAAGTGAGCATGAACGCAATCGTGTTTTAAACTAAACGCGTAACAGATGCCTGATTCTGGCCGTCAAAATCAAGCATGAACGCGCCCCGAGACGCTCTTGTGTACTATCCCTTCAGAGTGTAATGATAACAGTGATCCATATTACATGGCGTGTTTCGGGCACAAGAAAGACCGTCTGATCGCATTAATAAAATCAAATGAAAATTCCATTAATTAGATTATAGTTGGTCTATAATATCAACACCGTCATTAAATGCATCTAAAACATGCTAAAGCCGGGTTGATAATTGTGGAGCGCCAGGACAGTCAAGTCTGACAGATACGAGCGCTGTACAAGAACCACTAGCCTATTTGTTATTAATATTATTAATAATACTATTATTATTATCATTATCATTATCATTATCATTATAATTATTATTATCATTTCACCGAATACTTTTATCTCTTGCAGAAAAAAGTATATGTTAATAGTGCTAACCACATGTTCGTATATGTTTGCCTATTATAGTACCTAGGTCCTTGGTTCGAATCCCGAGCAGTGACCCATTTCGTTGAATTTAGGTATCACCTACAATGGCTATACCACAGGCGGAAATAGTCATCGATGATACACGCGCCAGGAGAAAAAAGGAAATAAAGAAAAATGCAAATTTAGCAAACTAATATCATCAACCTTGGAAAAAAATACGGAACGCGGTATTTCTCCAGAATAATATTGGTTGTTTTGTTCAAAACCGCTTGAAGCTGATAATCGTAATGACATTGGTATTTCTAAAGTCCAGAAATACCACACGTCTCTAATAGCTTCAATCAAAGCACAGGGCACTAGCCATCAACAACAGATCTGTGGTCATTTAAAGAAATCGGCAGGGCTTTGAAGAAAATGGTTCACAAAGAGACAAATGATATAGTGGAAATCCGGCATTAGGTTTACATGTAATAGTAAGAAAGTGTTAAGCTTATTCAAAACGGCGTAAATCTGGATTATAGTATTTGCTAATTCGTGTTCGAATCATCATTTGGGACAATTACCTTTTAAAATTGCGTGAAATTTGTGTCAGAAAAGGAGGACAGAGAGAGAGAGAGATAGATATTTTGGTAGTAAATCATAAAATGAAGCTAGTGAGAATAACAAGTGAGACTCAACGTGCCGACGTCACAATAGCTTGGTTTTGGAAACAGGATTGCTATTTGTTAGTGGCCAGGGCGTTTACATAAGATTCAACAGATCATTCTCGTAATCCAATCAAATGTAATGCACAAATCCTTGTTAAGTGCCTGGTTATACATGATTTCTTTCACCTGTTACGAATGATTGTATTCCAATAGTAAGAATGCGAACTACATACATTAACTGTTGTAATTTAGGATGAAAAAATAATTGCTTGTCCTACATAACAGCATGGAATGTATCCAATGCACATTCTTACTATTGCAATACAATCATTCGTAACAGGTGAATGAAATAAGTTCCAACGATGCACTTAACAAGGATTTGTGCATTAAATTAGATTACAATACGAAAATGGCCATTGTAACCCCTAAGGAAAAATCGTTTTACAAGCAAATAGTTTTCGCCAGAGATGTCGGCGATCATGAGCTCAAAAAAGGAGAAGGCATAGTTTCCATGGTAACACGATAGTGTGACGTAACAGCGTTAACAAAATAGCATCTCCAAAATGCTTAAGCCCCCCCCCCCCCCGCGCTTTTGAGCTTCTGAAAATATAGACGTATACTTTATACTAATGTACCCATTTATATATCAATTACACCGGCCTTTATACTGCACTTTTGCATTATTTTGATGTCAACTCCGGTAAATATGGTATGGTTCGTGTGTAATATGAACCGTTTGTGATTGGCCTGTTGTTATGATTCATGTTAGAGTGGGATTTTCATGAAAAGGCAAAAGGCAAAACCAAAGAAGGTGAAAACAGTTTAGATTTAAGCAAAACTGGACTGCTTTCAAATTCCTGACCCATCAAATTCACAAAGCTGCTTCGTCTTGGACAGTGGCGCCGTTTTAGGGGCATGAGGGATTGTGCCCCTCCCCCAATCGAATGAGCGAAAAAGGAAAGACAGGGGGAAACGAAAAACTAAAACTCCTCCAACACTCACCCACCCACCCCCTTTCTGTCTAGCATTGCATCAACCTGCTAAGTCCCCGCCCCCTAAGTGTCTGCTTCCATGCTACGCCTTCGGTTGTGGAGGATTTTATGAAATATCAAACCAGGTCATATTTTATTAAGTATTTACCACTTCCACTACGTGACTATCGATGCTGATATAACGTATAGCATTGCAAGATTAGGAATACAGATTGTCACGCAATTTCTTTGGAAACAAATATTTGCCCTCGTAAAAGTCAAAATTGTCAAAAAGACACCACGTAAAGATGACTTGTATCTGTAAGATATATCTCCTAAACGGATAAGTAAACACATTGCGTTTGTCAAACGTATTTCCCGTTCGTCTTTTGTTTATTTTTGTTTTGCTTTTATTTTTCTCGTACGTCGCCGTTTTCATATATTAAATTCATTGTGTCATCTATTATCAAATGTATTTTATTGATGTTTCAGCTTCAGTTTCAGTTTTACTTACATGTCCGACAGAACAATCAACAGTATCAATTACGACAAGAAAACAATCAATGTCATTAATATGATGCATTTTGTAAATCATACAAAAGAGAATGTGTACATTCAGTAAAACAAACTGTGAAAATGTAGGGATACACTGAGAAGCAAGCATTGTCGAATGTGGATCCCTAAAAATATTGATAATCATCAAGTTCTGTAATAAATTTTTTTTAAAGGAAAATTAATAGATTAATCTGTGGTGAATGAAAATATAATTATAAATCCATAATTGAAAAAATATAACAACAAGCATATCTTCCACACCTTTTGTCTTCTTTCTTTAATTTTTTTTAATATCATTCTCCTACTCGCCAATTGTACTGAATTTCTTCCTAAATAAACCGATGCGGGTATCATCTAGTTATACTATCTTTCTCTTTCTGTCACCTTTGTGTCTACTTATTCTTTTATTTTATTTCCCTTTTCTATTTCTAGTAAGTTTTTATTTATTCATAATGTCCTCCTATGTATCTAAAAATGTACAACATTTTAAGGACATTGGTTGTTTTGGCACGACAATACTTGAGAAACACCAGATATTCGAGAGTCCTTGCGTTTTAGGTTTCGATCATGAACCCGGTCACCCCTCCTTTTTCTTCTTTCTGAGTTCTTTCATCGCGCCATTTATCCGGCGGAAACAACGATTAGAGGAAAAAAAGTGGAGTGGGCAAAGTTTTTATGGACAA